TAATGCAAACCTGATTACATCAGTCTGTTGTCGAAGGCTCTTTAGTTGACCTTGGGAAGCAGTTTATAATCCCTAATGGGGGTTACTAGGCCTTGGATGATTTGACATGAACCGGGGCCAGTGTCATACTAGATCTTCATGTTCCGTTCACACCTGTTTTCATTTCTTTGCAAAGGTCTCCAGTTCCCTTCTCAGGACCCCTATCCATGACACTACTCCTGCCTGGACTGCTCTTACTCCGTTCTTCAGCTGGTTATTTCCTACTCATTTTTCAGGACTCACTATCACATCCTCAGCTAGCCTCCGACCTCCACTTGCACGCCCAGGCCGGGTTAGGTGTTATACTCTCCCAGAGAATGGCTCCCATTCTCTGCTTTGGTCCCCTCTGCAGGAGCATGCTCAGTTCTAGCTTTCCTGCCAGATTCCTAGCTCCGTGAGGACAGGTCACTGGGGGTTGCTCACAGCTGCGGTCGCAGCACGTCACTGAGTGCCCAGCCCACAGGAAGTGCTCATACCCTGAAAGAATGAACAAACCTAGAGGGTAATATGCTAAGTGAAATAAGTCAGACAGAGGACAAATACAGTATTATTTCCCTTGGATGTGAAATCTAGAAAACAAAACAAAACAGAAACAGACTTATAGAGAACAAACAGATGGTTGCCAGAGGGGCAGGAGTTGGGGGTGAGGACAGAAAAAAGTGAAGGGAAATAGGAGGTTCAAATTTCCAGTTATAAAATCATTAGGTCACAGGGCTGTAACGTACAGCACAGGGAATATAGTCAACAATATCATAATAACCTTGTACAATGGCAGATGGTTACTAGACTTAGCATGGTGATTACTTTATTATGTACATTAATGTTGAATAACTATGTTGTCCACCTTAAACTAATATATTATTGTATATTAACAGTATTTTAATAAGAAGAAAAGAATGAAGGACTGCTTTCCAGTGCCAAGGGTCTACTTCAATATCCTTCTGTGTTTACCTGCTTTCTCTTCTGTTCAGATGAAGGTTAACGGGTAATTTTGTTAAAGATGAGGTAATTGTTTAAAAAAGTAGTCAAGAGGAAAGATGACTTTGAAACCTCTGTGAGTAATGTAATTAAGAAACCTACCTTTGGTGCTCATTAAGCTCACCACTGACGGAAGCCATTATTTCCTGCTGTGAAAAACTATGACTCAGATTGCTTTCTGTTCGGAATTAGTTGAAAATGTTTGTTTGTTTCATTTTGTTATCATTATATTTCTGTTGGAATACTGTAACTGCTATTGCAAATCCTATGAGTAAGCTTAATTTCCCTAGCGTGACTTGAAGAAACCATTTCTCTGAGTTTAGTCACAAGATAATGGTTTGCATTCACATTTTACCATCGGTCTCTTACTTGCCTGTCTTCCATTTGACTGAAGTATCACCGTGATTCAACAGTCAGCCACTTTTTAAAAAATTAATGCTGTCTTATTTATATTTTATTTGGTGATGAATATCCTGTTTCTAGCAGACTGCACTTGACATTTCATACATGCCAAACCAAAACAGCTCTAAGATTTCATTCTAAATTGAGTAATTCTGGTGAATAAAGAGCCAAGAATTAACTGAAAGAACTATATCTCCATATACAGAAGTCTTCTGAGACTTAAAAAAGCTAATTCTAGCAGATTATTGTTGTGTGTATATTCTTGGCCTATAGTCTTCTTCAAAGAGGACAACTTGTTAAAATAGTTTGATTTTTAAGGATACAAGATAATCAGTTTATTCAAAAAGGACATACATTTAGTATGTATTTGACGTGTTGTTGCTGACAGTATTGAAACCAATTTCATTTGATAGTAACTAAATGGATATTTTCAGAGGACAAATATTCTAGTCTATTATTTGTTTCAATATATTCTTGAAAAAGTGAATAAAAATATTTGAACAAAAATATAAATGATATAAAAGTGGAACGTTTCTCAGTTTTATCAGTAATAAAATAGCTAGAGACTACTTTTCCTTCTTTCTTTCCTAAGAATATAATGAATATCAAATAAGATATAGATTGCATGAAAGTGATACCTACCACAGGCCTGGCACTATTCTAAGTAGTAGGAAGTTAGTAGTGAGTAAGACAAAGTCCTGTTTTCACGGAAGGACCGTACCTTGTACAAGGGAGATAGACAACAAACAGATAAGCGTGGAAATGTGTAGTAAGTCAGACGTAATAAGGATTCTGTAGAACAGTGAAGCCCAGTGAGGAGGAATGAGGGGTCCTAGGTTATGGTGCTGCGATGGGCCGTTATCGCGCTTTTATGCAGGACAGTAAGAAAGACCTCTCTGATAAGGTGACATTTCATCACACTTGAAGAGGAAGGGTATCTGTAGGAGGAGCACTACTGGCAGAGGAGGACCTGAGGTCCTAGTGCTTGGAGTGCCTGAGGAAGGCCAAAGGGGCCATGTAGCTGCCATGGGTGAAGAGTGGATGGCCAGAGTTTGAATGCAGATGTATCTGACCCTGAGCCCACATTTCAACCACCGCACAAATCTGATGAGGCAACCACAGCATTACCTTACCTGCTGTGATCTTGGAGACTCTCTGTATTATTACACTCATGCAAAAGAGGAAGGCAGTAAATTTCTACTTTAGATGTTTGGCGTGTAGAGTTGAGAGTATGTGAGAAACCCCTGTGGTTTGGGGAGTGTTGCTTTGGAGAAAAAAAGTAGGGAAAGAATGTATACTATAAATTGGAGAAACTGGGACTATAAATAACTCCCCAGCTCAGAATTTTGTAGTGGCTCTCCATTGCCTTCAAGCTTTGGAGAAGTTAAGTAAGTTTCTCTCTTTTTGTGTGTGTGTGTGCAGGCGGGGGTTGGGGGGGGGTGGTGTTGAACTGCCTGTTCTTTTTTATTTTACTTTTCAATTACAGTTTATATTCAGTATTATTTTGCATTAGTTTCAGGTGTACAACATACTGGTTAGACAATCATATACCAAAGTGGTCCCCCCAATAAATCAAGTACCCACCTGGCACCATACATAGTTATTACAATATTATGGACTGTATTCCTTGTGCTGTACTTTACATTCCTGTGACTGTTTTATTACTACCAATCTGTACTTCTTAACCCCTTCACCTTTCTTATCCATCTCCCCAGTGCCCCTCCCTCTGGCAACCCCAAAACCCCATAGGAAGCAAACCTAGCTCTGAATGATGATAAAGACTGTAATCACAACTGCTAAGCTATGCTACTCTTCTCAGGCTGTGAAATCAATCACGTGCTCACTGGCAACTTGTCACCTACAGACTGAAGGAATGCAGGGCCCTAGTAGAGTAGCTCCCACCTTTTCTTTCGCCCTTACTTCTGCTGCCCTCCTCCCCTGGCACCTTAGCCGGGAGCAAAACAGTAATCCGTGTCATGTACCTAGGACTTTGCACATTCTGAAACATCCTTCTTCCTCTTGTTTTGTGATGAAGATTTTGTATCTTCCTTGGGGATTTTCTTTATCATTCTCCTTCCCAGATTGCATTATAACTTCTTCCCTTGGCTGTTTTAGGGATTTGTGAATCTGTGTACTTGCGCATATTTCTGGTAGAAATCATTCTTTACGCCTCTGCCCTCCCAGCCAGGATTAGGTCCTCTCCTCTGTGCCACCTGATAAATCTGTACAAGCATTGATCGTGCCTCTTACCACACTTTTGGGATAATTTCTTTGCTTATATTCTCCCTCTTCCAATAAGTCATTGAAAGCTTAAACCTTGTTTTTATCTATATCCAACCATTGAGAATAGGGCTTATTATGTAGTTTACCTGCTTATTTAAATTAAACATAGACTATTGGATGTAGAGCTAGAATGACAATTTCGACTATATCAAAACAAGTCGAATACGTTGAGCAGTGATGTTAATTTACTCAAAAAAAATAGATGATGATAATAAAACAACTTCTCTTTAATGAAAGATTAGTATATGCCAGACATTAAACTCAGTGCTGAAGGAAATCATTCTTTTATTCCAGGTCAAACTTGAACTTGAAAGATATACCTTATTTGGTATACCTTTAAAGCTGAATTAATATTTTATTAGATATAACTTTTGAAACTAAACTTTCAAAATGCATTCATTTTCAAACAGTTGATAACTGAATAGTAAGAGATGTTAGTAGAGCTTTAAGTGGAAGAAAAAGTCCTTGGAAAGGGACAGAAGTCATCTTTGTTACTTTATATTCAGTTTTTGAAACGTTACTACAAATGTGTATACTTGGCTACATGTAGAGGTCTTCCGGAAAGAACACTGTACTCATTTATAATTTAAACATGGCATGATGGGTGAGACAGAGGGCTGCCGGACAAGTGAGCCCAGATGAGACCCTGAATAACGCAGTGCTTGATTCTGTTATCAATGGTTAATTGTAAAGGCTTCAGCAAGTGCCATCCTTTTAACCTAAGGCCCAGAGAGGGATACTTGAGGCCTTGGTTACTTAGTCTAATTCTTGATTTTCATTCAGTAGAAAACCTACTCCTTAGGAATTCTACTGAGTGATTTTTGAACAGGAATTCTTATTGCTAACTGCTTTGTGTTTTCCAGACAAGTATATTATCTCAAATTGATATCCTGATAATTACTGATAAATCACTGTTTTTGGACATGTATTAACTTTGGCTTACATAACATTTATAAATGTTATTGTAGCAATGTTGTACTATACTCCAAAATATTTTAAATGCAAAATTTAAAAAATTATATGTATCATATAGTTTTCCCCACTCCTCAAAGCACAATATAGCTTTTTTTCCCCCTCCCCCTTTTTGGGGGCTTGATTTTATTGTCTCCTTAATTCCTTAATATTTTGTGCTGATTAAAATGGATTAGATAGTCTCTATTTAATCCTAGTGCTTAGAGTCTATCAGTAGGAAAGAGTATATTAATCCTCAAAAAGATATTTAAGAAATTATGTTGTTTTCAACCCTTTCCATTAGTCGGTAGAAATTTATTCTAAAGCTCTCTGTGGTTTTATTGCAGTGACGCCTCAGCCAAAGCCCTGTGGGAAGCCTTGCTGAACACCAAGCACAAAGAGGCAGTGATGGAGGTCCGGAGACATCTAGTGGAAGCAGCAAGCAGAGAAAACCTGCCAATCAAGATGAGTATGGGTAAGCGTACCCACCTCAGCCAGGATAGAGAGTGACTGCTAGCTCTGAGGGAGTTCATTTCAGCTAAGTTGGCCTAGCCAGCATGGCATGCAGGTAGAGTACTGATGAATTTGTAAACTGTTGAATGAGTAGGGAGAGAGTGCGTACACTCTGTCCTTGGGGCTCAACAATGACCCCTTTCCTTAGACTCAATTTTGGGAACTCTAGGAGAGTTCTTACATACAAAGAATAATTCTTTTAGTCTCTTTAGTTGATCTAGAGCTATTGAAATTGGACTTGACCACCTTCCCTTCATTCTCTTCCACCCCTATGTTCTCTCCCCTTTTTCTTTCTCCCTTCTTAATGTGAATGAAAATTCTTTTATTGATTTTTTAAAAAGATTTTATTTATCATTTATTTTTTTAGAGAGGGAAAGGGAGAGAGAAAGAGAGAGAGAGAAACATTAATGTGTGGTTGCATCTCATGTGCCCCCTATTGGGAACCTGGCCTACAACCCAGGCTTGTGCCCTGCACTGGGAATCGAACCTGTTACCCTTTGGTTCACAGGCCAGTGCTCAATCCACTGAGCCACGCTAACCAGAGCTCTTTTACTGGTGTTGAATTAATGAATGCACTACTGTGCTGACAAAACATTTGAGCAAAGAGACACGCTCTGGCCTTTAGAGTGGTCTGCTAATTGTCCAGTCACTTAAATGTTATCCCTTCTTTACCAGGGTATTACATATCTCATTTTCCTTATTTCTCATTATTTTCCACATTCACCTTTGTCTTCAGTCTTCGAAGAATCTGGCTGAAATGGAATTTAAGTTTTAAATAGTTATTTTCTTTTGATTAAAAAGTCAGAGAAGTGATGTTTTGATTTTTAAAAAGGAATTTGGTGTTTTACTTTTTTTATTAAATAATTCTATTAATATGGAAGTACTTATTAAATATAGATAATGGCTTTGGTTAATAGATAGAATTTATCTCTGGAAACTTTATATTTTAAAATGTTTTCTTACTTATAACCTGCTCTTAGATATCCAAAAAATATTGGTACATTTTACTGGAAGGAAATTTTTCTTAACTGAGATTCCTTGCCCAAATTCTTAATTATTTATGAGTACAAAAATCAAACTATCAAGTTGAAATGGAAGAACAAAACTTTGGAAATGAAGGAATGTGGATGAATCTAGAAGAAAGAATGTTACATGGTCTTAAAATGAAAAAAAAAATCATGACTTTCAGTGTGTTACGTGAGTATATAATAGATGGGCTTTAAGGAACATAATCATGATCAAAACAGTAAAAAAGAACATTTATTGAGTATTTACAATGTGCCAGTTTTTCTTCTACTTTTTTACATGTGTTATCTTATTTAGTTCTCCCAGTAATTCTGGTGACATAGGTACTGTTACTATCCTATCCTATTTTTCAGATAAGGAAATTTGAACAGAGAAAAATTGAGTTGTCCAAGTCGTTATACGTTACAAGAAATAGGACTGAAATTCAAACCCAAACAGTGTAATGTAGAAGAATATACTCTATTTGTAAAATCATCCTGTTCCATATAGCCAAAGCCAGAAGTCCTACTGTTGTATTTGGGATGGAATAAATCTGTTACTTAGAGAACATCCTAGTATTTTACTATTAAATGTAGTTCCTTTCTTTCTTCCTCGCTTCTCTCTCTCTTTCTCTTTTTAAATTTCCACAGTTCTAGGTAAACATTAAGAACAAGCATGTTGACTTTATAGAGTTCCTTATCCATGATTATATGAAGATGGAGTAGTTCGTGTTATTAATCAAGAAAAGCAGAAATACACAAAGGGTCTTGGTGATAAGGTTAATTTATTCTGTTTCAGTAATACAACTTTATGATGCTATCACAGAGCATAAATCAATTTTTATTGTTCAATCTGGGACTAAAAGATCAACCCACTTTACTTTTAGGTATGTATAAAGGGCTGTATCTTTTAAAAATAATCAGAACTGGGGGGAAAATGAGTAACTTCATAAGGATTCAAATTTAAATTTTCTGTTTGAGATTTCTGTCAACTTAAAAATATTTAGATAAAATGGTTTGCTTTATTCCCAAAACTCCAGACATGAGGGAGGGTGGGGAGAGAAAATGAAAAGAAAATAAACAGATAATTGTTAGAAAACTTAAAAAAAAGATTTTATTTACTTACTTTTAGAGAGAAGGGAAGATGGGGGGAAGAAAGAGGGAAAGAGAGGGAGAGAAACATCAATGTGTAGAGACACATCCATAGGTTGCCTCTCACACGCCCCCTACCGGGGACCTGGCCTGCAACCCAGGCATGTGTCCTGACTGGGGGGAATGGGATCAGGAATCAAACCTGCGACCTTTTGGTTTGCAGGATAATGCCCAAACCACTGAGCCACACCAGTCAAGGCTGTTGGCATATTTTTGTTGTAAAAAGGCCAAAAAGATTGACCCAAATCATATTCTGTTCATGTGCTAACTATTTATAATTTAAGAAAAGAAACACAGTGTGACTATACATTTCTGTTTCACATCACTAAGTAGAATACTAGTCTGAATTTCTCATATGTCTCATTTCTATATACCAAAAGATATATGTAACCATCAACAATAAGGAAAAGAGCTGGAATTTAAACATACTAAAACATTGTTATTTGAAAACTGTTTATCATATAGCTTATTATTTTTAAAAAAATCATGCTGTGTATTCTACATGGTTGGAATGCTTTTTCTAGCAGCATTTAAAATTATGAAACATACTTTAAGCTATGCACTGTTCTCCAAACCCCTGCTGTAAATTCTACTGAAGTATACATTTTTTCAGATTGTAATAGAGGCTTCTAGTATTTTTGAGGCATTAAACAGATTTTAATTCTAGCCTGAGGATCTTCTTGTATTTAAATTTACTGAGAGATATCCCATGATTGAAACTTCAGATCTTAAATATAAAACTTTTCAGTACAATGTATTATTAAAATATTATTATCACCAGGAGAAATAAACATCATTCTCTAAAAGGAAAATGTTAAATTGCTAGAACAACCCCAAGAATTTTTGTTTATATAGATTATATCTATTGATATCTGTGGTATAGATAGATAGAAAGGTCGGTAGATAGCTAGACAGTAGATAGGTCGAAATATCACATTACAAATTAAAGGAGAGAAAAATTTTAAAGAATTTAAGTAATATAAAATATAATAAACTTGTTACATGTTAATATGAATAACATTTTCATTAAAAGTAACTATTTTCTGAAACAAAATACATGAGAACAATGGCACTCTTTTATGGTTTTACATATCTTTAATGTCTGGCTTAATAGAAGACAGCTATATCTCATATCTGCTTTTTTATTCAACATGTTGTAATGTATTATTTTGGATAAAGATACAAAGAAAATCTGGTCTTATAAATATATGTAGTTTGAGAAGGAAGGAATGTTTTAATAACTTCTCAGAAACCTGCGGATATTTTTCTTTGATACAATGCCAACTTTACAGGAGGCAATTTCTTATAGGTTAATTGCATTGTAGACTATGAATCCATATCATTAAATTCTCTATATTTTGTTATGTTAAAACGCACTGGTCTCTTGCACTTTGAATGGATCTTTTATATACCCATTATTTTATACCATTGTGCACTAGGCACTTGGAAAATATCAGTTCTAATTGTACAGATCTTCCACATCTGTTGCTATCCCCACTAATATCATTAGAAAACCTTTAAATATTGGGAATAAAGCTATAGGGACACATATAAGTTGCCCAGAATTATAATTTTCACTCAAAAACTTGACTTTCATCACTGACAATGCAAACTGACCGTTGTTTTCCTTGAAGTGACAGTCTCATTTCATTCATGGTTTTGGAAAAATGTGTGAAGGACCAGTTTTTCAGTTGTCTTTTCTAGTAAAAATGTTGTGCCATTAAAACAGTGTAAACAGTTCAGTTCACAACTCAAATAATCACACCAGTGCTTTTCCTCAAGCCAATCATTGTACTGAGGTATGCACGAGAAGTGCTTTTTGTATATATCTCATTCCTTTACACAGAATATTGACATTTTCTTAAGGATTGAGATTCGATGACATTAATAGCATTTATAGTTTCCCATGGCCTTTCTGAAGTGAAATTGTCTGCTTGTGTAATTTGGGGCCACTGTCTTGATTGGGGCCAAGGCACCAGCACTTTCACCCATGGTTGTTTTTGTACCATCAGTGCAAATACAGCACAGTGGCAAAATCATGTCACAGCTTAGTATTTTTACGAAAATAGAGTTGACTTTTCTGACTACCTGAAAGTGTCCTGGGGACCCTGGGGTCTGTGGAACAGCTTTGAGAACCATTGTTTAAAAGAGTACCGTATTCTCTGGAGTACAACACGAGCACAATTTCCTAGAGATCGTTGGAATCATAGTTAGATGTCAAAATAGAAGAGGGGAAATCTCATTGAAATTTTTTCTAGACATATCCAGATCTAGAGGTAATAGACAGTTATTAGATCCTTGTTGGCAATAAGAAACATATAAACTATTACCCTGTTTAGAAATGAACAAGTTATTTAAATTTGCAGAATTTGTTTTTCTGTCTATAAAATGGGGATTCTAGTACCTATAAATCTGGTAATTAAATGAGATGAAGACATACGTGAAACATAGTGGTTGTGAAATTTAAAGTGTTCTGTGAAAGGAGTGTATAGCATGCTGAAATTATCTATGTTCTTCTGGGCAGATAAAATACATTATGAAAATAATGACCAATGATCATGCAACTGTATATGAAGAGTACCCTACCAAATCTAGGGGTGGAATTACTCTCTCTGTAGGATTTGTTTTCTGCTCCTCTCAGTGGGAAATATGTGGCTAGAGTAATGGTTCCCAGAAGTGAAAATAGACACTTGGGGTTTAGTTTCCTAGTGATTATGTTGAAACCTTAATCTAACGGAAATATAATTTCCTAAAGGAAATATAATATAAGAAATATAACAATATCTCTAAAGGAAACAGGATGATC